GGATGAGGGAAACGTGGGTGGCGAGGACTCGTGAGGCAAGGATTGCGGCGCTAAAGAGGGAAGCTGCTAGGGTTTCTGGAAACCCTAGCTCCAGCTGGGTTGCGTGCGTGAGTTTGGGCTGGTGTAGGCTTGCTGTTGTATTTGGGCACCAATTGGGCCTGAAAAGAAAAAAATGTAAATAAATGTATTAGATATAAATGGATATATAATATAATTTATAATATAAATCTATATTATATAATATAATGACATTTGAATGACGAAATTTAGTGTCTTCAGTTGCCCTCCTGTTTCTAGTTTTGCCTTAATTATTCCGGATCGACCCATGTCACACACCTGGCTTTGGTGGGTGAATATCCTAGTAGAGATTTTCTGCATACATAAGGACTCGAACTCGAAACATTGTTTAAGCGATATTAAGCTACTTACCACTTGAATCAACCCATGTTGTTTGTCTCATCTCATTTATGCCCTATTAATGACTATAAATTTTAAATTTAAATGAAACTTGTCACACCCACATGACGAGTTTCATGATTAAAAAATAAAATTTATAATTATTATATATTATTTTAATTACAAAAAAAATTAAATTATATTTTTCTGTTGATATATTATCATTCTATTCACAAACAATATAAGACATAAATTCATTCAATATTAATCTAACTTTTATTCCTAATTAAAAGCAATTCCAATTTCCAACTACATAGGATGATGAATAGGGATGAGTTTGAGATTCAAATCTATCGGGTTCTGATCTGTTGGGTTGGTTTTTTTAAAAAAAATTGAGTTCGGGTCGGATTCGGTTTTAAAGTGAAAAATATCTTACCTGACCCGAAAAAATTATAATTTTACCTTATATTCATAGAGATAATTGCAATAATACCCTTTATGTATTATTTTCTTTCAATTAAATCCCTATTTTTATTAAATAAAATAATCTTTTTTAATAAATATATTTTTTCAAGTCGAGTTGGGTCAGATCTAAATTTTATCTTAAAAAAACCGATTAGATTCAGGTTGAATGAATGATTTATAATTTTTGAATCAGATCGGATAGACTGAAAATCCGACCCGATCTGACCATAACCATCCGTGTTAGTGAATTCGAATTTGACAAATTTCAATTTTGATGTGGTCGGTCGGTGATAAAAACTTAAAAGCAAGACGATAGCATCTATAAATAATTATAACAATTACGAGGAAGTAGAGAGATGACGTGGTGAAGTTGAGCTTGTTTGTTTGATAAATGTTTCGATTAGTTTAAGACAAATAGATGTATGACAGGTGGATTGTTGGGATTTTTATAGTACTCACCACAACATCTTTTTTAATCTAATTAAGACAAGAATTTTAAAGATTGAATTAAGTAAACTCATGGACAGGTTCATAGTGTTGTACTTTGTTTTGTATGGTCATACGAAATTCAAGCCACGTAAATCCGATTATTATTATTATTATTATTATTATTATTATTATTATTATTATTATTATTATTATCTAAAAATTATTTAATATGTTATCGTGAAATTTTACTTTTTATAAATGATATTAATTTATTGTTATGTATTTTTAATTATTAGTTTAAATAAAAAAAGATATAATACGATAGATTAAATTTTTTAATAATATATCAAATAATAGATTTTTATAATTATCTTTAAAATAATTTTAATTGCTATATTTTAATGTTGGGTAAAGTATACAAGTAGTCTCCCAACTATAAGATGTTATTTTATTGAGTATCTCAATTATTAAAAATTGCATAATGATCATCAACTATAGTGCTATATTTTATTAAGTTTCCCAACTATTAAAAGTTACAAAATAGCCCCCTAGTTATATGACATTATTTTGTTGAGTCAATCTGCTAGTAAAAGTTATAAATGGTCATCCAACTATTCATATATTATAAACTTATCCTTTTCCATAAAAAAAATTGACGATCATTTGAGGTGGACATTAACATGTTGATTGAGATATGATAAAATTAATAATGTCTATTAACGTGTTGATTGAGATATGATAAAAAATACCATATCCGATTGAGCTGACTCGTCGACCCGCTGACCCAGCTAAAAAATATATGGTATTTATAATAAAAATACCCAATTTTCCGGGTCGGGTATCCAACCGGGTTTCTGGGTTGAGCATGAGTCACAAAATGTTGGTTAATCGGGTACCCTCCGATTTGGTACCCGATTTATTGTATATTTTTAAACTTTATTTTATATTAAGTTTTTATTCATAATCCTCAAACTATTTCACTCTAACATTCTAAAATCTTAATTTATTAAATTTTGACACCATAATGTTCTAAATTCTTAATTTCTTAAATTATTTCACATTAACATTCTAAATTATTTTTAAAATATTTATTTTAACTTCAAAATATTTGAAATTTAATTATATTTCTTTATTTTAAATTTTAATAAATTTTATTTCAATTTTGTAATTTGAATTTTTAAACTTAATGTGATTATATATATTATAGACTTTTAAATTTTAGAATTTTTTATATAACTTTTTTTTAAATAATATAGTTTAATGAAAAATAAAAAAATTATGAAGATACATGTGACCCGAATTATATATAATATAATATATATATATATATATATATATATATATTAACTTAAAATATTTTTATATTAACTTATTAAATATATTTTACTATTAACTTAATTTAAAAAATATTTTATTTTTATTTTCATTTAAAAATATATAACTTATTTTAATTTATTAAAAGTATGACTAAATTGAGAGAATACTAACTAACATGGATGAAATGTATGAATATATCAAAATATTTAACTGCTATTAATGACAGTTAACTCGAGGTGACCAAATCTTGTTTAAATAAAAACGTAAGTGACCATATCTTCTATATTTTGAAATCAGTGACCATAAGTGGATAAAACTCAAATATAAGTGATTAACCTTGTAGTTAAACCCATATGATAACGTGGATAACTTTTCCCTGCGTTGAAGAAAGATGGGACATGGATTGATTATGTGGCTTGATTTGGACCATACACGTGCCTTCCAATAATTGACTTTACTTGATTTCAGTGGTTCATCACTTCATCTCCACAGATTCAACGTCGACGTGCCTCGAAATAACTTCCTCAATTCTACGTCTAATGTTTCTTACCAAACTGTCCTTTTCCACGTTATACATATGCAAAGGAAAAGTGTTTTTTATTAGACATAATATAAATAAATACCTCCAACGTTTGATATTATATACATTTTTACCTTAATTATTTTTTTGAGTATTTATCCCCATAATGTTTAAATATGATTCAAAAAATTTTCGCTGATTCAGAAATTTTTCGTTGAATAAAAATCGTTAGTCAACAAAAGGCGGGATGGTGATCGACTTGGTATCGATATACGGTGTTCATAATGGCCAGCCTCATCAGCGTTCACTCTATTGTAATTGAGCTTCTCATATTATTTACTCCCACTTATTTTCAGATGGGTGACTTCAAATTTCACCTTTTTTTAACTTATTATCATTCTTCTAATTTGGTCATCAAACTTTTTTTTAATAAAATTGTCACAAAATTTCATTTTTTGGATTAATAAAGATTTTGAAATGGATTTTTTTTAATGATCAAAATAAAAAGTAAAATATAATATTAATGAATATAAATTATAGAAAAAATATTTAATCTAATGGTGACATGTGTCACCATCAAATTGGTGGATTAATTTAAATTTAGGACCAAATTGGTTGAATGTATAAGTATTGCGGATCAAACTTATAATTACACCAATTTTATTAACTATCACGTCATCATTTCTTTCCATAGTTAACGGTAAATGTCTTGATTGACATCATTTAAATAATTAAGTGGTCTGATTGATAAAATTGAAAGATCGGTGACAAAAGTAAAAGGATTAAATAATTAGATAGTTAATGATATAGTTTACCTATAAATATGATAATAGTATCCTAAATAATATTCATGTCGGTAGAGTTTTGGTACAAAAATGTCAAAATCAAAATCCAATTGAAAAGGACCAATATGTCCTCCCAACGTCCTCCAGTCAACATTAATTTCAGAAAATGGGCCAATATGTAGGCTACTTGTCACGAGAATGTATAAGAACGTAATGTTTAAAAGGACAAAAATGGATGTTGATCCATCCATCCATCCGTCCACATAAATAGTAAGAAAGATTTTTTTCCCACACAATAAATTCATTTTAATATTTGAAATATTATTTCATTAAATGATAATTTTGTTATTTGAAAAATAGTAATGCCACAATTTAATCTCTAATTAAATTTTATCTTGGTATTTTAATAATTATTTTATTCAATAATAATTTTATTATTTTGAAAAATAATAGGCTTGGTTAATAAATGATATATTATGTGTTTATTTAATTAATTCATAAATTATTTTTTAATAAATTTTAATAAGTAAATTTCAATGAGACCAATGTGGATGGGATCTTTAGTATTAAGTTTTAAGAGAGTTAACTGTGTATACATGACGTATTAATTTGTTGAAATGAAATAATAAGACAACATATTAAAACAAGTTATATATATATTTATTTAATTTTTATGTATTAAAATATATAAATATGTTTTCAAAATATATATAAATATATATTAATACTTTTTTTGAAAAACTTGATGATTTTTTTAGGATTTAATGAAAATTTTGAGAGATCTAAAAATTTTCAAAAGAAATTAAAATAATTATATATATATATATATATATATATATATATATATATATATATATTTTCTAAAATTCTAGTAACTTAACAATTGTTTTAAACTTTTAAGAGGACAAAACTAAAACTTTGAAAAATTTGGGGTGGACATTGTTCCAAAAGTTTGGGGGCAAGGACGCCTTAGTTCTGAATGAAAATGAATTAAAAAATAGGTATTAAAATGAAAAATATGAATGTCGTTAGAGATAAAGATCAAAGCTCCAGATGCACCAGCGTATATCCAAAGCCCACGTTCTCTCCTCTATCTGTCAGCATCATTTATGATTCCAGCTAGTCATAAGAGAAGAGATCCAAACTCTCTGTTCGTAATCCAAGCTTCTCGACTCTCACTGTGTTTATTACCGAGTCACTCCAGAAACGTCAAAACAAGGAGAAATGGATAAGCCTCTGCTGTTCGGAGAAACAAGTGATGGCCGTGGAAGACGAGATCGTTTGTATCGTCGCTCTGAAGCTATTACTTATGGCTCTCCTTATCAGCGAGCAGCTGCCCTCGTTGATCTGGTCACCTTCTATCTTCTGTTTGGAGATTTCTGTTTTAATTCTTTGAATTATCTTTCGTTTTTCTCGATTTTGTTTGAAAATGACTGATTACCTTTCCTTTAACTATCTTTTTTTTTCTTTTGAATTTTTTTAATTATGTTGTGTCCTAGTGGATTGAGTTTCAGGATAATTTATTTGAAGATAATTTATTATTCGTAGCGCACAGAGCTTTTTAGTGTATCTAAATTATGAACACTACAGAATAGTAATTGTTTCAGATGTAATTGATTTGAGATCTTAAAATTTCCAGTTCTCAGTTTGTAACTGAAGTGCAAAAATACAATAGGTATCAACTTTCTAGTTATACTATCCTCTCTTTGACAAATACTTGAAACAGAATCTGAAATAAGGACTCTTTCACTTAACATCACAAGCAGTGACCAAATTATATGTTTACTCTTCTGTTCAAATAAGGAGAGAACTTATTTGATTGGCATGGTTTTTTAGGCTGAGGATGGTGTTGGTTTGCCCGAGCAAATTCTTGATAAATCAAGCTTTGGAAGTGCTGCAAAGTTCTACTTCATCTTCATTAAATTCGATATCGTTTGGACCCTTAATTATTTTGCGTTGGTTGTTCTAAACTTTTTTGAGGTTCGCATAACTTTTCTTTTTGCTACTTACTTTAAATTTCAATTAGGTGGTTCAAGGCCTTCTGGTTAACCAGGATGAACAAAAAAATGGAAAATTAAGAAATGCTTTAGAAAATTTATAGAGATGATTATCTAATTCAAACTTGATTGACTCTTTTCAGAAGCCTTTGTGGTGTTGGACGAGTAGTTCATATTCTTGCAGTGATAGGGGCTACTTTTTTCTTGGACAGTTGCCTTACTTGACTGCTACAGAGTCTATTATATACGAGGTATGGTAATATAGGTAGATATATATTTTAGTGAAAATTTGCCACATTTTTTTACTGTATGGTAATAACTAATGAGCGCAAGTTCGTTTGTTTTTGTGGGTATGTATTTATATAATGCATTTCTTCGCTGGCTTTTGGTTATGTGTAAGAGTACCCTGAGAGCATGTACTTTCTATGTTTATGCTCAAGATACCGAGCAGCTGTTTGCTATATGCTATATGGTTGTAAAAAATTAGTGATTTTCAGGAATTATCAATTTAGTGCGTCTTTCATATTAAATTTCACTAGCATAAACCTTTGGATTCTCTATATTGTTTTGCAGGCTGTGACTCTCATTGTCTTAGCAATACATACTTTTTTCCCAATTTCCTATGAAGGGCCCAGTATCTATTGGAAGCGTCCCCTTAATCAGTTAAAGGTACTTGCATATGATTCTGTTTTGGATAACTACATATCCCTAATCTCTCTCACATACTGTATTTGGATAAAATTCTTTTATAGATGTATCATTCCAAAGTTATACTCTTCCATGTACATTTTATACCCATGTTGGACCTGTTTTGGACTTCTTAAATGCAATTTCATATTCAGGGATGAGAGTTCATAAGGCGTTGGACATATATACCGTCTTACAATGCCCAAATCCACAATAGTGTTTATGCTTTGATTAACCTGTCACCAATTTCCCTTTGCAACAATATGGACTTTTAGTAGATTTGACTTTGTGCTCTTCTATTCTTTGATAACTCATTGATAATTTCTTACGATTTGATATTGGCTTTTGCATGTTGTATTTTGTTTTTCTTCTTTTTTATTGTTGTCTTTCAAAAGGGCTAAAACTGCTTCTTTGTTTATTGAATTCTATGAATAGAATTTACTATCTTGATTTCCCCCTGATATTATCCTCATAGTTCTCTTCAGGATATAATTTGCTTTGCTCTTCCATTTTATGATGTAGCTTAACACTGCATATTTTGATTCAAATTCCAGGTCATTTGCCTCTTAATTCTGGTTGCAGATTTACTGGTCTTTTTCCTCTATTTGTCTCCAGTGGCCATGAATTCTCTTCCGTTCAGGGTTGCACCTTATGCCAGAGTTATTCTTTTCATCCTAAGCATTAGGTAGTGAGTGACAAAATCTGTACCTTAATTTTTTTTGTAACGTTATTTCATGTGTACATGCTTGTATTTTATACGTCTGACAAGCATCTATCTATTCTTGTGAATGTCCAGAACTGAACCCAAGTAAGCCAAAAATGTATGCTTGTGGTTTCGCAGATGCATGGTGTGAAATTATGCACCATTTATCTTCGAACTACCAAACAAATTTTTCCATGGTCATCCTCGTTACTTGATCTGATCAGAGAGATCATATGGATCTACAAGAATAATAGAGAGTTCGAGGATAATTTGAAATTTTGAATAGTGAATTTTATATGGTTTTTATGTGCTGCTAAGGTTCGCAAGCTGATAAAATTGACAACCTAGTTTTAGACCAGTTATTGATCTTAATATCAGCATTTAATCTGGAGTAAGCATGATTTTACACAGTCACTAACTGCTTGGTGCTGCCACGGCATGGAGCATGGTGTGTACTTATGAGATATATTTTGGTTTTAGAAATATATCCTAGTCATTTAGGCTAACTTCATTGGTTTGAGAGAAGGTTATGGATTGGTCACGTCTCCTCGTTAATCCTTTTTTCTGGGAAATGAAAAAAGAAAAGATGTTTCCTCTTTGGCTGATGGTTCCCTTTACATGAAACCTTTTGGTTCTGTATAGTTGTTTCTCTCTAGTGTATTTTTTCATAATTGGGTCCACAACCAGTTGAAGTGTAAGGTTAAAATAATGTGGTGGGTAGAGAAGTATGTTCTTTTTCCCTCTAAACATTTATGTGTCATTTTCTCCGAGATAAGGAAACCAGAAAAAAAGGATTAATAATTTTTGGATAGGTTGAGCTAAGGCTAATATGGTCTGTTCTGGGTGTCACAAGTTGACCATTTATAGATTGTTATGCCCATAGTTGAACTTAGTTCCTCAATAATTTTCAGACGTTCCTTAGCTTTTTGACATATTGAGTGACCTATTTAACAATGGTCTATAAATCTTGACTGCAAATTCACGTTATCATTGTAAAGATTACATGATTTTACTGATCATTTTTTAATATACATGTTTGAAGGAAGTCGTGCTTCTTTGCTCTCCACGATTCAGCTGTTTTCATTTAATATTTTTCCTCTTTATTTGACTTAGGGAACTACGAAATAGCATCATCATTTTGGCTGGAATGATTGGAACATACTTGAATGTCTTGGTTTGTATTCTCTCTTATCACCATACCAGTATACATGCCTGCTGTATTTTAATTTTAAACAATATGTATTTTCCTTCTAATCTGGTCCAACTTATTGGTCATAATTATACACTAATGGTTTTCCGAGCACAATCTTAGTTACTGTCTCATCTGCCTTGATTGCAGGCTCTGTGGCTGTTATTTCTTCTGTTTGCCAGTTGGGTGGCATATGTTATGTTTGAAGATACAGAACAGGGAAAAACGGTATTTACCTCATATGGTACCACGTTGTATCAGATGTTTGTTTTATTCACCACATCGAACAACCCAGATGTATGGATACCTGCCTATAAGTAAGTTTGGAGTTAAATGGTGATTTGGTTGAATTTTTGTAATTTATTTGTGCTGTTAAGAAATATTTGGTTTTCTTTAATGTAAAAAGAATGGTTGGAAATGGATGGCATTTTCCCCCTGCAGAGAAACATTTTTACATTTGTAAACATTTCACGAAGCTTCACACACTCATCTCTTTTCTTAGTTCCTGCTTGTTCCACTTTTGTTTTATAATCTATATGGTGTTAATTGCTTGCTTGTTTGTTTTTTCTGTAACGACCAATTTTTGTCTTGTCCTATCAGTTTTCTTCCACTTGTGATTATGGTATGGTAAACTCAATTTGGAGTTTAGCTTTATTTATGCATTTTTTGTATTACAATAGGTAAATCAGCATTTCTTAAGAAAATCAGGATGGTTATCTTCTATTGTATACTTTGATCATGTTACAACCTAATTTCTTTTTGACAATTCCTTTGATTTTTGCTATCTTTCAATCTTTTGGCTACAGGGCTTCACGTTGGTACTCCCTCTTTTTTGTTCTGTATGTCCTGATCGGGGTTTACTTCGTCACAAATTTGATTCTTGCTGTTGTATATGACAGCTTCAAAGGCGAGGTTTGTTGTTAATTCTAATTACTTTTTCTCCGAGGTTTGTTCCTTTGTTTTTATGGTTGCTTGTATGATCTGTTATTGTTTGAATATTGCTAATGATGACTGTTACTTCATAGAAAAAAAAAGATTAAGCATATGTGCTTAAATCTCCTTTTCTTGTAGCTTGCGAAACAAGTATCTGAGATGGACCGGAATAGGATAAATATATTGTGTAAAGCCTTTGACCTTATTGATGATTATGTAAGTACATTATTGACTTACTGGCCCATTATCCCTTCTACATTCTAAATTGCACTGTGTGAATGCTGCTATCTTTGTGAGCAATATATGGTTGCTAATTTTTTTTGTATGTCTAACTCGTGCATAGCTTCATCTCTGTGGTAGACTTTTCATATTGTGAGCTGGATGTGGGGATTTGTATGATTCATTCACTATATATATATAAGTCCTTTGCCAGTACATACTATATAATTAAAAATTTAAAAGTGTATCAGAAAGATAAAATGAATAAAGATACGTATGATATTGTCTATGCAACTAATTTGAAGGACAATGGATGGATAAAGTAAGACAAGGAAAAATAGCACGGGGACAGTTCTGATGATGAGCAATTCAACGATACAAAAGAGACTATCAATCTTTTATGTTTCTTTTAGTAGAACCTATCATGGTTAAAGATGTTTGAATTATCATGTAAAGTTGATATAGAGAATTTTTATGTCCATGAGTTGCTATTGTTGGTTGGATTATATGTTTCGTGTTTACTTCTGGAGAGAGACTTTTCAATGGAAAACGCGTTTCTCAACAATTATTTGTTTGACTTGATTAGGTTGATTTATCCATGAATTGGAAGCTCCCACCATTGGATTTATCCAAAAAATTTGCCACATTAGGTGGATAAAAAGTAGGGACAAAAATGTTTGAGAAGTAGCATGACTCCTTCACATTACAATTTCTTTTTTCTGTATGAGTGATTTGTCCTGTTGGTTTTTGCTTTTGAAAGGATTATCATTATTTCTTTTATGCAATCTTAGTCATCCTAATTTATCTTGTTTGACTGTCATCGTGATATTTGAAAACACTTATTGCTGCTTTAGTGATGTAGCCAACCCCACATTGCAGGAGAAGGCTAGTATGTGGTGATGTGGTTTAGTTAAGTTTTCTGAATGTTCCTTTTCTACATGCAGAATGTTGGGTTCCTCAACAAGGAGCAATGCATTCATCTGTTTGAAGAATTAAACAACTACAGGTACTAATTACAACATCATATTTAGTGTGTTTCAAGAAGTAAACTGCCTTCTTGTCTCTTGCATCGATACATATTTCTCCAGCTTCTAATAGGTATTAAGATGTGGAATTTGCGCAGGTTCTGTTGGGTTTAAGTCATGTAAGATTTGGCTATTGGGGTAAAAGGAAGTGAATTATGTTAAAAGAAAGGATGCAGGAAGTATTAAAAGTCAAATAAGGGAATAGTTTTAAGCATTATTAAGAACTTGCATCTCTTGTTAAGTCTGTTTAGCACATTGCTAATCTTAATTACGATCAAAACACTTCGAATCAGAAAAAAAATCAATCTCCTGTTTGATTGTCAAAGATTGGCTAGTTTTCTTTTTGCATCTTATAATTGATAAATATTTGATACAATCATGAAAGAAAAAATTATGTAGTTGTAGTTCTTATTTCTTGAGTTGGCCTTAGGTATCTTAATGCATCAAGGTTCCTGATTTTATTGAAGTTTCAACCTCTTTTCTTTTGTTAGTCATGATATTATGCATGCTAAAGTATGCCTGGTTCCAATTATCGTATTCAGGTCTTTGCCAAATATATCAAGGGAAGAATTTGAGTTAATATTTGATGAGCTGGACGATAGTCATGACTTCAAGGTATATACCTCACCATTTTGATTTGATTAAATTTGAGCATTTTTCCCCTTTTGGTGTATCAGTCAGTACTATTATATCCCTCCACCCGTTACCCGATCCGGTCTTGAGTAATCCCACACCTGACTCACCTAACACAAATATATACATAGGAATTTCTCATTTTTATTAGGTAAAATTGGAACTTAAATAAGAGATGATTATACTATTATCTCGGGTAAAGTCGGAGATTTTTTTACCCTAAACCTGAACCTGACTTTAACCCAAATTTTTTAAGAAAAACCTGACCTTATATGGTCGGTTTGGGTTGGGTTGAAACCTATTGGGTCAGGGTCTCATGCCCATCCCTGTCAATAATTCTATTTTATTGTTTTAAGTAGTTATTTTTTTCACATAATTAAATAGTACAAACCAAACGATCTCAGTGGTTAAGGGACTTGTTATTATCCCTTGATGTCCCGGGTTCGAGTATTACGTATGTAGTGGTATAACTGTATAAGCGTTCATCAAATGGTTGAGTCTTTGAATAGATATTATCTTGTAGGCACCTTTGATTTATTAAAAAAAACAGTGTAGACTAGAATTTTATTTTATTGTCTTCAGTAGTTATTTTTTTTTTTAAAAATTTTTCTTGTATGCGAGCTGTCTAAATATCTTTTATACTCATTGCGTTGACTGTTTGTACAATATTATTAGTCTCTATTCTTATTTTAATGTTATTTTTGCTGAATTTGATCTTTTTCTACATATAGATCAACTTGGATGAATTTACTGATCTTTGCAACGCCATTGGTCTAAGATTTCAAAAGGAGGATACTGTAAGTCCATTTTTCTATTAACCTTCTCAAAACATGTTCATATTTATGACAACAGGATCTTTTATGATGTGCAGCCATCTTTGTTCGAAAGATTTCAAATCTACCGTTCACCTTTCTCTGAAAATTTGAAAGCCTTTGTTCGTAGTCCCAAATTTGGATATATAATATCCTTCATTCTCATACTGAATCTGTTAGCGGTTATTGTTGAGACAACGGTATGCCTCTTAACGTATTTTATCTAGATGAATATTAGTATATAATTTTCTTTAACAACTAAGATTCTTTGATAAGTTCCTTGTTTGATGCAAGTAGTTCCACAATTTGATAGAACAAATATACTTGCATTTATCTGATACCTGACCTTTCAGTTGTAGACCACGGTTCGTATAAAGTACTCGCCCATCGGAAGGAAACTAATTTTTATATCAAAATTAAGATTTGGGAAACTAGTTAGAACTATGTCCCTTGAGCGTGCTGGTTTTGTTGGTGCCTTTTCTACTTGCATTTATCTGATGCTGGTACTGTCGGACTACATTTTCTACAAAGTACTCCCACATTGGAGTCAAACCAATTCTGTCTCAAATTTATGAGTTTGGAAACTATGTGGAACTGTGCCTTTGGTGTATTGATTTCTTTCTTGCTTTTTCTCATGTCCACGGTTAGGGGCTCCAAATTGTTTTGAATCACATTATAAGATAGGTTTATAAACTGAAAAAAAACTTGATCAGTGCCCCTCGAGTAATTGTTTAAAGCTTCCCCTCTCCTCTCTATATGATTAAATCTTTTCCACTAATTGTTACATTTCTGCAGGAGGCATACCATGCACTTAAGCAATAGGAAACTACTTGGTTACTAGTTATGCATCTAGATTACATGTAGCTTCCCTTCTAGTTCGCTGACTGAAGAAAAATTTGTCAGTTCAATTCTGAGAATGTTGTGAATGCATCAAATTCTGAAAATTTTATCTGATGTTGTGACTGTTCTGATTCCCGACTACATTGTTTCTTGCTCTTTCCAACATGGACTCATGTTTGCCACCTTAACCTTTTTTGGAGCTAAAAGTAAATATATAACGTAGCTTATGTAACGATCTGAAGGTCTGATGCCTATGGAGGGGTAGGGAAGTGACACTAAGAAACAAGAGAGAAAAGGGCATTTGCATAATAGGCTAATAAATCAACAAAAGACCCTTAATCTGCTTTTAGCATAATCTTTTTGTCATTGGATGGAATTTTAAAAAGAGTGAACTTTTTTTCCTTTTTTTTGCTTCAGATGATTTGATCGTTGGGATTTATATTGCCATATTTAAATTCTGAGTTACAGTCTTGAACTAATCTCCGTGATATAAATTTGCCTGCAGCTTGATGTTGAAAACAACTCCGGGCAGAAGGTGTGGCAAGAGGTTGAGTTTGTCTTTGGTAGGTACTTTCTAATGCATGTCAAGATTTCTGAGCTTTGTAGTTAACTCCCTGAATTTAAATAATTTTAAATTCATAAATTTGCATGATTTAATGCTTGTTAAGTTTTGTTGTATGCAACATGTTTGACATGTTATTGCTTACTTTCGTGGTGCTTCATGCACTTCTTTTCATTTGACAGGCTGGATATATGTACTGGAAATGGCACTGAAAGTGTATGCATATGGCTTTGCAAATTATTGGAGGGATGGTCAGAATCGCTTTGATTTTCTTATTACATGGATAATAGGTAATTAACCAAGTTAAATCAATTGTATTTTACCTAGATCTACTAAAGTAAAGCAACCAATTTTATTTTTCATATTTTTTCAATTTCTAATAATAATAATTATAAACCCTCACAATGAGCTTTCAGAAAAAGCAAATTTCAGGAATTATTTTGCTTCATGTTCTTATATTGGATGACACCTTAATTTAATTACCGGTCAAACCAATCATGAAAACTTGGTTGTCATTTGTGTCAACTGTCGATTCTTGAAGAAATTAAGCGGACTGCATCAGAGTTTCCTTGGTGACTGATAATAGAGGATGGCATTTTTAGGAAATGAATTTTATTGATCTTATTCCAATTTTTAAATGTTGACCGTTGTAAAAGTTTTTAGATAACCTGTAAAAGTTGAAGATATGAAATGACTTATATTATGATCAATATATTTAGGACTATGCTGTATATTATGATCGATAAATTAAGGAATATGATGCATGTCATGTTCAATATATTAAGGAATATGCAGCTGTATTGATTTTCTCAACTGAAGTGAACTGCTGTATAAATTTGCAAACAAGTAGGGTACAAGTTGCGGATAGTGCAAATGGCATGTGCAGTACTGCATGTTTACATTTGCAATATCTGTCCATTCAACTTGAAACTCTTCATTTGTTAATAGGCTACTGAATTTCGTTTTATCAAATTTGTGCTTGCAGTTATAGGAGAAACTATAACTTTTGCAACTCCCGATGGACTTTCCTTTTTCTCAAATGGAGAATGGTAAGGACAAAATATTTCAAAGTTTTTATATTATATGCATCATTTTTAAGTTTTTCTAGTCACTCCTCATTTATCCTTTAACATATGCTTTCTACATATGTTATAATTTATAAATAAATTCTAGTTAGGATCGTTAGTTTTGGATGTCCCTTTTTCCTCTAGCTTTTAAATCTCTCATTTTCTCCTATTCCTGTCTACAGGATTCGCTACCTTCTTCTTGCCAGAATGCTAAGATTGATAAGGCTCCTGATGCATGTCCAAAGTTACCGAGCTTTTGTTGCCACATTCTTAACCCTAATTCCAAGTCTAATGCCATATCTTGGGACTATATTTTGTGTCCTATGCATCTATTGCTCAGTTGGTGTACAGGTACTACGGATATTTTAATTCTACCGCTGTCTGCCTGCCTACCAGGATTTTCAGATGCGACATTCTATTGAAGTTGCCTCATTATACCTAACAACGGAGTAGTCATGGATTTTTTATCCTAAAGAAAATTGGTTTCCGGTTCCTAGAATCCTAGAATTCATTGTGGATTATTATTCAGTCTAATCAATGATCTGATTATGTTACTAATGGAAATTATCACCATTTGTTCTAGATCTTTGGCGGGATTGTCAATGCTGGGAATCCCAATCTAGATGCATCAGAGCTCTCTGAAAATGAGTATCCTTTTTTGGCGTTTCTATAAACCCGTCTTACATATGCCTTTGTAATATTTGTAATTAATAGGCTGCACCAACAATCGTGGCAATTTACAGGATTAGGAAGTTTTGCATTCGGTTTCAGAGGTATGTTTAGAGCTAATTGCATGTTTTGAACTATATTAATATTCGGCGACTTTCCTTGACAATACCAGCTACTTGCTCTTCAATTTTAATGACTATCCAAACGGAATGGTCACACTTTTTAACTTGCTAGTGATGGGAAATTGGCAAATATGGATGCAGGTATTGCTCTTGTGTCAGGATTTTTTTTTCATTTTGTCGTCTTTTCAACACAATTCTGTGTAGGACATGTAGAGGAACATCCTTGCTATTCATCATCTCGATGTATTCTTTCAATGGTCGATTAGGGTAGAATTACGCTATTTCACTTTTGGATATATTCCTCACTGCTTCTTGTGGCCTCTACTTATAACACTTGCCGTATAAGTGCATATTTTCTACATTAGAGCTGTTAATGGGTTAGTTTAAAAGTTATTGGATAGTTTAAAAGTTATTGGAACCTTCTCACATTATAGAAACTTTATCTTGGTGCAGTGTTACTGTTTCTTTGACTCAATAGTTAACTCATATAATCTATGAACTTCTAAGCATCTATAAAATAATTTTGAAAACAAGTGTACCACCTTTTATTCGGGATATTGTTTGTTTGGTAAGCTATGTCCACATTAACATAAAATGAGGCAGAGATTCAATATTCATGGTCCATGCTTTTATGGACATTTCTGAAAATAAATACATACATATCTAGGTCTCCTTGATTTTATTCCTTTATTGTCCTTGCAACAAAAACATTTTGCATTCTTGCACCAAAAAAATTGTACAAGAAGATTTACGCTTACAAAAGAAAGTGTAATTCTATAGGATATATTTCTCCTTTTATTGCATTCTTTTGCACAAGTTCAATGGAATTTTGCTTGCTCCTGTATGTTCTTTTCTTCTGTTTCCTCTTGTTATACTCAAATTATATACCCGTTCCTGGAGGCATTGATTTGGTTTATTTTTCCGAGTTGCTGTTACAGGGCTACAAGGAATTAACTGGAACTTCTTGGACCATTGTATATTTTATCAGTTTCTACCTAGTTACTATTTTGTTGCTTTTGAATTTGGTAAGTCTTGAGAATATTCATTCCCATTCCCATTTAACATTGCAGACACATTATAAAAAGGGGGGGAAACTTATTTTTTCTTTCTTCTGTAAATACAGGTCGTAGCTTTTGTCTTGGAGGCATTCTTCGCTGAAATGGATCTTGAGGCATCAGGGACTAGTGAAGGAGGTGATGACGAGGTCGGTACATTTTATAATCTCATTACTTTACCATGTATGCATATGGGCACATTGTCATTCCCGTTTACCATTGACGTTATCCGACAAATTAGTGTTAATACATCCATTGAAAGGATATAAATCTGATGTCCACTTTCATATTCCCAGGATGCTGGCTCAGGAAAAGGTCGAAGAAGACTCGCTGGGTTTGTATTTGCTGACTCTATATTTCTACATTTGTTCAGGATAAGTGGCATTTTGATTTTTTTTCTTATCTCGTTTTGATTCACAGCACGAAGACTCGTAGTCAAAGAGTTGATGTTCTTCTACATCACATGTTGAGTGCGGAGCTGGATAGAAGCCACTCATCATCCTCCAACGCGTAGCCTGATTCGATATCTTCTGGCAAGTAAAATTTCTTTTAACCAATAAACTCTCAGTTGCGATTCATAAATGATAAACCCATATTCATTTTAGCTTGTTGAACTTTTAGGTGTATGACTTGTTTGTTCAACTCGGTCTCATGTTGGACTTTCTACAATTATTAATGGCCTACCGACCAAAAAAGATTGTAATGGTGATAGATTGATGGCAGAGTTGTGTGCAACTTCTCAGATTTGGTAGGGATATAAATATTGTTTATATGATTGATAATCCAAACAATTTCCAATGCGTTCTTTAAAAAGTATTGCTAAACTAACGCATATACCAAACGTAGTGTAATCAAGTTCATCAAAATTGCGTTCACCAATACTAAACTGCTGCTTCTATAATGGCTTTAACACCCTATCCTACGTTTTAGACCTACCCACAATTCTAAATACTTATCAACTTAGCCTGAAACTGCTCGCAGTTCGTTGACCCGTTTTTCACAAACTCCCTAGCTGTCACATCGATCATCTTCTGTATTGTTCCTTTAAATACCACGGAGCTACCCTGTACGAGTTTGTTAGGGGACCAGGACACCATCTTTAACCACAACAGAGCCTATCAAAGCACCGTCTTTATACGCTTGACACGCCACAAGGATGTCAAGTGCACGATGGCGGAAATGACCAGTAACAAATTCCTCAAAATGCTGTCGTGATTTGATCAAAATGTAAAAGAGGGTATAACAATAATGGCAGAAGAAAATCGATGGATAGACATATACCTTTGGTGGTTTTCTTAGCGTGCATGTAATGCGTGGATGTGTTAAAAAACAGAGAATGGCAATAAAATTAAAAAAAATAGCTACTTATACATAAAATATAAATTGTTCTTATAATAGATAAACTTGATGCACGCTTTTAAATCTGGTTTATATCAAATTTAAGTTAACATTCAATACTCAAAACTAATGATAAAAACATGTATTCTGAGTGAATTTTATAATTGAATTTAAAGTGATTTTTCCCTAATCCTGAGATAATTACTATAATAACCCTCTCAATAATTTTTTTTTAAAAATTATGTTGTTATTTTATTGAATAAAAATGATTTTGATATATTTATATTAAATTAGGTTGGATGCAATTTTTATCTCAAATTTTTGAGTGGTACCTCTAAATTGACCGATCCAAGCGAATGAGATACGTTTCTCGAGCGAGATAAAATTTATTGAATACCATATTTATTCTAACCAGTTGCGATCATTATATGTGATGCAAGTCAAACATATCAAGGGAAATTATCAAATACATATATTGTGTAAACTTTAATTATAAAAGGTAAAGATATCATTCCTTTGAGGATTATTATTTGATTAACAGTGTGAAAAAAAATTTCTACACATTTTATCTATTTGAACCGTCGATTTTGAAATTTAAAATTTTAAACCTAAATTAAAAAAAATCTCGACCAATTGACAATAAACGTTCACATTCTTATCATTGTTCAAACTCGAGACTTCTATAGAGAATAATAAAATTTTTAACCACCAAAGTCGCTTATCTATTGCAACTATAAAACTTAAACATTAATCCTTAATCCTAAACTCTAATCAAGAATCCTGAATTTCGAAATAAATAATATCGTGCATCTAGTACTTTTAAAAAAAATAATTAAGTTATTATGAAAGTATTTTTATCTTTATTAACGTTACATAAATTATAAAAATATTTTACACCTACAGTTGTTTGCTAAATAATTTTCATAAAAAATATTTTTATAAAAAGTTTGTATTCAGCATATCATAAGTATAATATTATCACTTATTTCTTTTCGAACACTATTTATTCCGAGCAAAGTGAGTCTGAAAATTTATAATCTGATCAGATCCAAACACAGAAAGTTGAATGATGTAGACCAAATCAATTAAAATTCATTTTAAACTTTTTTTTAATTATTTTAGACAAATACAAGTTGATATCTATTTCGAAATATGGTGAGCGTAGATCAATCACGAGACCTTCATATCATCAGTCTAACACTCTCCCAACTGTAATCCTGAATAATTATATATTATAGTGTTAAACTAATTTTTATTTTTAAACTTAGTAATGCATTTTCTAGATAAACAAAAATATCATTTTAAAAATTAAAATGGGATTGTACATGCTTTTTTATTTATTAGACAAAAAAGTTTCATGTTTTTTTTAATTTGAAATTCATAGATTTTTTAAAAGTTTAAAAGAAATTGATAAAATATTAAAAGTTTCATTTTTTTCTATTTTTCATTTATATGAAATAAATAAAAAATAATATTTGTTCAAAAGCTTTCAATTATTTGACTGCTCATATATTCATATAAATATAGGGATGGCAAAAAAATCCGAACCCGACGGGGAAAACCGAAAATCGAATTAAACGGGTCGGGTTCGGGGATGATAAACGGGGACGGGGACGGGGAAAACCCATTTATTTTAAACGGAGACGGGGACGGGGACGGGTTTAGTAATCCCCGTCCCGATTACCCGCCCCGATACCCGACCCGATAAATATTAAAAATAATTATTTATATATATATATATATATATATATATATAATATTAATAAATTTAATTTAAATAAAAAATATATATTTAATTTAAATATATATATATACCCGGCCTGATTCCCGACCCGATTCCCGGCCCAATACCCGTTTAAATAACCGTTTGTGCTAAACGGGGATACCCGTTTCCCCGCGATTTTCCCCGATTACCCGACGGGGATCCCCGTTTAAATTCCCACGATTTTTTAAACGAGGACGGATACCAATTTTTTAAACGGGGACGGAGGACCAATACCCGGCCCGAACCCAGCCCGTTGTCATCCCTATATAAACATGATGTTTGAATCCAATATTAAAAAAACAAAAATAAATTAGAGGTTCGTTGACTTTTTTGAAAAGAATCATGACTCGTATTATTTTTTTTTACAATGTGGTCCTCCAGCTTATAAAATAAATTTAATGTAATTTTTTATCAACGTTTTTTGTCATTGATCGTTATAATACTGACGTGATAGTTCATAATATTAATGTACCGTTTTACGTTACTGATGTAACAGTTTATATATCATGTCATCCATCACATTAATCTATTACCTTAAACTACCATATCAACATCGTGAATTACATCGTGATAGCTAGCGACAAAAAAACATGGTGGTTCCTCTCGGCCCGGGCGAGTTCTACGGCAGCAGCCTTCCACGTCCTCGTATCTACACCGAGACCCGGTTCAACTATGAACTCGTGAATCCTCCGGTTTCGGTTCTTGACCCGCTACTGTCCTGGGCCAACGAAGCGCAGTGGTCCATGGGTGGTCTCAGTTTCAAGCGCCTCCGTCTCCAAGGGCGGATCGAAGGCAACGTCAGCGCGAGAAGCTCCTTAAGGACAAGGATTATGATCCGATTGTTAAGAAAAACAATAGGGATGCTTCGATGTCGCCCCCTCCTGCTCCAATGGCCGTTAAGGAGAGGAGATTCTTTGATCTTATTGACCACGACGACGTGGAGAGCGAACGTGAAAGCGATGAAATGGTGGTGAAGAGAGCATCGAGGAAAGGTCCAGCGAGGAACTAGGAGATGATTTTGAGAGAGTTGCAAATGATAAACAGAAGGGGAGTTTTATTGATGCAATCGGTGGTGGTATAATGAAGATTGTCGAGGAGGTTAATGTTGAATCCCAGGTCGTGAAGAAGAAGAGGAAGAGGATTGTAAAGGGTTTGAAGAAGGATAAAGACAAGCTGAGTAGAGTGGAACAGGGACAAGATCATCTCCGAGACTAGCAAAGCGTGGTTGATGGGTCTAGGACTTTTAATCGAATAGGCTTGAAAATCTAACCTTTTATATATTGAATCATAAATAAATAAATAAATTATCTTTCGCGTACTCCTTTGGGCGTTAGAAGCTTATCAAATTAAAGTAGTACTGAATCGGATTCATTTGAGCTTCAACATTTTCCATTTCAAATGAATTCAAAGATGTTTTAGTGGCTGTGAATGTTGTCTATGCAACATCTTCAACATGCATTGAGAATCTGTTAATCAGTTCACAACTGCTACCAAAATTTTACAGCAAACTCGCACTCATGTACCGTATGGCTAACCCTTGTTCCGTATATAATGGGATAAGTGGAAGATAAGATAGTTGGCTGCCTCCAACATCAAATTGAGAACAGCTTTCGTAGGAGACCTCCGAATTATGAAATGCCCTCCGTGAGTCTCGATCCCACAACTTTAAGGGGTGTTTGGTTCAAGGATTGTGGGAATCCCACATTCCCATGTTTAGTTGGGCGGAAATCTCATTCCCGGTAATGTTTTATTACCAATAGTAGATTTTTTGGGGTATATTACCGAGAATGTCATTACTTCCCTTCCATTATGTATTGTAACATTACCGATATTTTGGACTAAAATACCCTTAAATTTTTATTTTTTTTTCAAAAATATCATTCTTCTGTCATTTAATAATAAAAATTCTACGAAGATTAAATTACAAATTTATCCTTAAATTATTTTAGATTTACAAAAAAAATCTATAATTAAAATTTTATATGAAATTCAAAGGTTAAAAAATATTTACCCTTTTATTAAATCTTTTTTATAATTTTAATTTTATAAAAAAAATTATATAAATATTATGAAATTAATTTTTTAAAGAAAATATATAAATATTTTACAATTTGTAATATTATACAAATATATAATAAGGACAATTTGGTCAAATACACATTCCAATAATCTTTTATTCCTTTAACCAAACACAGTAATCTTATATTCCTGCTAAACCAACCAAACACAATACAACATTCCAAGTAATCCTATTTCTTGGTAATCTTTTATTCTCACTGATAATCTTACATTCTGTGAACCAAACGCACCCTTAAGGTTAAGAAACTTGTGCTCTACCAACTGAGCTGGATGGTCATTTCACTCATGTACTATATATATTTGCATATCTACTAGTAATTTGTATGGGATATGAGAAGAAGAATACACTACCAATAAACTTTTTATATCTCCCACAAACTACCTCCCCAGAATGAATCAAATTTTCTGATAGCGCTAGCTTTCCTCTCTCTTGGAACATAGTTGTTTGAAGTTTTCGTTTTCTTGAATAAGTCCTTGGATTCTAGCCAATCTGCACGAGTGTTCTACAGTCAGTTTGTATATCGGTGGGGACTCCCATGGTACGATACCGAAATCGTCGCTGTATTCTGCCATTCCTTCCACGAAGAATTGCCATACTAAAGCACCTGCCCCCGACCCTTTCTTCTTTGCTGACTTGTAAATGATGTCTAGAACAGTTCTATAAAGCTGCTCTCGTTGGGATGGCTGGTAGTCTTTGTTCTGGTCCGACAAGCCATACTCGGTGAACATGACCGGCTTCTTCAGTTCCTTGTCACAATCTTCAATGTGTGATCGCATCCACTTGTAAACATAGTTCCGTTTCTCTTCGAAACCGAGATGATGAAACCTACCAAAGGTAGTACGAAAGAGATTAGAGAGAATGACAAGGATTCATTCTGTATCATGCAATTGATCGTTTGCATACATACTGATACATTTCATAAATAGTGGTCATATGGCTTACCATTGGTCGGCATATATATGAACAGAGGCAAAATCAACATGTGTCATGTTCGAGTTGCGCATAAAATCAGATCCAAGGGCTGAGGCCCACTCTTCTGGATTCACAGTTGACTTCTTGGGGCTTTTAGGACCGTAAAATCCTTCTAAGCCAATGGTCAATAGATGGTTTTTGTCGATTGATTTTATGAAAGCCGTCATCTCTTCTAACCAATCCTGCAACGGAATGCCATAAAATTGAACTCACGTTGAGATACAAAACGATAAATATTGGAAGAAATTAAAACCTTGGTCTTTGAGATGAATGCATACAACATATAAAAACCAGTTCTCTGAAACATGAACATTTTGTAAAACACCATCACATTCATCTAAATTAAGCATAAGCGGTCTAGATTATAGAAAAAAGTTAGAAACCAATATAGGGTCAATAGTGCATTCATAAGTGCTTAAAATAACATATACGGTCTTTTTTTGGTCCATCTAAATAGTGTAAAATCTCGTAACTTACTTGAAGAGTATCCCCAGAAGGATCGGTTATGCAACGGGGTTCGTTTATCAACTCCCAAGCAAAGATGGTAGGATCATTCCGATATTCGATTCCAGTGATGGTGTTCTTCCTGGTGAGGACAGACTGGGAGCAAGAAATACATCACAATAAGACTTCATTACAGCTTAGAAAAGATTTTATGAATTTATCTTCCAATATAGAAAAAGAATGTCGGAAGAAACTACATTGTCCCTCAAAATTGAGATCATACTGTTAGTTGGCCTTGTCAAACTTAATCACATAAAATCATGTTTATTAAAAATTTGTAATGAGTTACACTATATATCGCGTTGGTAGAAAGAAGAACCCGGGAAGACGGTGTTTTCCTACTATTGTGGGCTAGCACCCGGACTTGTGCCATACTATCTAATATGCTCAAGCTACCTGCGATGTACCAATAATGAGTAATATTTTAGCATTTTCAGAAGGCAGAAATCAGGCTAACAAAGCCCCTTGTTTCCTTGAAAAGAAAAGAAAAAATCAATAATACAATCCCATATCCTTCCCCTTGGCCCTAAAATAGGAAAGAAAAATGAAGTATAACACTTCATAAGGCTAAGCAAACCATTTCCTATCACTTTCAGTTCACCTTCACCTTCATAAGGCATCAGATTCCCCTTTGAACATTTAAGAGTTATCTATTTCGACAATGCAATGTAGCTCTCCAAGAGCAGTTCACAGAAGATATGCGGTGATATACATGCATTCCAGTGCAGGGGACAAAATTCTCATTATTCAAACATGAGAAGAAAGAAATACAAGTAAAACTTAGATAGATGATGAGATACCAGGACATAGTTCTTGAAATATTTGCGGATTGATGGGTCAAAGAAGAAGGAATCATTAGAAGAGCTCAAACCAATGCCTTCTTGCCACGCCCAGTTGACATACTGTGTCTTTCCACCATATGGTTGCAAGTTATTTACTAAGCTAAGAATAAGCCTAATTCCATGTTGCCTTGCTTCAGCAATGACATAGTCCAAGCCCTGCAGAAACCGAAAGTCGTCAACATAAATAACAATAATTAAGAAAAAGTACTGTACAATCATACTAACAACATCATAGAGCACAACAGAGTCAATAATGCACAGTTCTTTTGACAAGTTTCTAATCAAGCAGCTGAGGAAACAAAGCAATTCGAAATCCGAATCGCTTAGATTTCTTTTTTTAGAGAGCCCTACCATATTTTATATTTATAATCAAGACGAGCCTTGTTTAGATTTGCAACTGTGCAATAATCTAAATCATCTTCAATATGCACATTGTATATCTCATGTAAGCTCAAAACAGAAACCGTGCTTGGATTGAACACCCAGATCATATAGGATTGAGATTATACAGCTGATAATTCACACCGTAGACATCAAAATTTACAAAAAGAAAAAACCAAATCTCGAACAAATACCTTGAAGACTCGCTCATCGAATTGCCCAGGGGAAATCTGGAGAGCATTATAGCCTCCATCATTGAAGGCCCAAGTTCTGCAAACAGTGAGACCCATCTTCGCACCAGCTTCAAGCATTGCACTGACCTTAGGTCGAGTATTTTCCTCCACAGAATGGGACATTAACCAGTACGAATTCCATCCATTAACGTACAAAGGTTTCCCATCCAAAAAGAACTGAGACCCATTCCTTTGCACAAAACTTAATCTCTGTTCCCTAGGGAAACGACTAAGCTTCAAATCACCAAAAGACATATAAATCAAAGCCACACAAGAAGCAAATCCGAGAATTGGGTATAACATCCCATTGCTAGCCATCAGCTTCCTATATACAGCAAACAACCCAAACATCAATCAACGGGCAAAAATACCAGAACTATTTTTTTTTTTTGAAAAAAAGAGATTATTTGGGTACCGTTTTAACAAAGTTCCAAAATTTAAAGATACCCAAAGTGGAGATTACAGAGTTACAGTACCTTAAACTCCAATGTGAACGCAGATCCTTCTTCATAAGGTCACACAAAAAAACAGTATAAACATAACAAACAAAAGCAGATAGGTTTGCAAGTTTAACTGTTTCTGCTTAGGATTTGGGGTGGTTTTAGTAGCAGAAAATGATGCAAGAAATAAGGAGGGGCGAGAAAACATGAAGGGGCTGAAAATGAAGGGCAAAGAAAGCAAACCCTCGTGAGTTTCAAAGGCAAAGGTAAGATTGAGACGGTGGAATACAAGCACTGCACCTGATTTCCCCACAGTTTCCTTGAATTTTAATATAGCTAACCGCAACAAGTGTCTTTGCCCATGTGATTACCTCCCCGTAAAATAAAAGAAAAATCACTGGGGAAGTTGGATTCTCTTGTCCTTTGTAACTCTGAAGTTTTAAGACAAAATTTCTCTCTTATTTTGTGTGTTTAAAATAATTGTGTGGGATTCCATTTGCTCTGATCCCTGGGCGAATTTGATAAAAAAAATCTGATTAGATTAGGCAACCTGTAAATTCATAACCGACAAAAGTTTTCCATGTGAAAAGCCCCACAGCGTGGGCTACACTCCTTGCACATCTGCACGTACACACGCTTCTTTCTTTTGGGCGCACAAAATCTTGCTTCGGTCCGCAATCAGCGTCTACTTTGGACTATTTAATAGGCAACCCTAATTATATCATCCCGCTTTGCATTTTTCTTAGATCTTTACACAAATTTTGATTTGAGTTTTAAAATTGTTTTTTTTTGGCAAAAAAAAGGTACGTGAGCTCCTCGTACATTTTTTAAAAAATAATGTGGTTTTCGTATTTTTTATACCTAATATAACTCTTAAATTTAGAAGACATATCCAATGTGCTAACACATGGCACGATCTAATTAGAAAATTAAATTTATTTTAATTTATTAAAATTAAGACTAAATTGATAGAATATATAAGTAACAATGACCAATTGTGTAATTATACTAATTTTATTAACCACCACGTCAACACTTCCTTTAAAAGTTAAGGAAAAGTAGTCTGATTGAATGAGTTTAAATAGTTGGGTGACTTGATTGAGAAAAAATTAAAAGTGATGCTCAAAATGAAAATGGGCTATAGTTAGGTGGATTTTGTATACCCTAAAATTTAATATTTATATTAAAACATTCTAAAATTTAGAACCAAAATTAATGCAAAACTTAAAATTTAAAGACTGCGTTTAGAACTAAAATTAATGTAAAATTCAAAATTATCACTAATATATAATTTATTTATTTTTCTAATAGGAGACAAGAAGTATAAATTATTTAAAGACCAATGATTTGATAAAAATCTTTTAACAGAGTGTGATTGAATTCGGTCATAATTAATCCCACGACGTCGTTTTCCTAAATTGAGTCAGTACTAATAATGAAACTAATAATGTTTAGCTTTTTGGCAGTGACATTAACACTGGGTTCTGTATTCTCCATTCAACTATACATCAGATCCCAGTGCATCCCATTACTTTAGAAATATGGTTAAATTTAGTTTAATGTGTTAAGGGAAATATTATAATTTTTGTATACCTATTATTTTTAAGAAAATAAAATTAAAATTTTAGACCTCCATTCTTAAATTTCTGGATCTGTCACTATTAGATCATGTGATAATAATGCGGCCGAAAAAGATTTAAAAGTGTTGCTTTAAATGAAGAATTTAAAGCAAACTTATGTGGAAACGATTTTGCCGATCACTGACCGAGAATCACCCTCAATCTCAATCTCCTGAAAGCATCGGAAGTAAACTAAATTGCATGATTTTCGACCGTCGCCTCTGCCATAAACGTTGAGGTAATATTTCTACTAAACCTTCGACGCGTTCCCATTATCAGTCCTTCACAATCTCTGATGAAGCACTTGACCACGCTTCTTTCTTATTTTGCAAAAATCGAGCATCAAAATTTACTTTGATGAAAATGGGGCAAAGACTGTTTCCAGTACACATTAAGGGACCATGGTTTCCATGGAGATGTAGATTAGCCCTGGAGAAATCGAGGCATCGTGCATGAACCAAGGTAACCAACTCCTCTTTTCTTAACACTTGCCCTTGGTGATAATGTTTAATGCCAAATGGTTATTAGAATCTTAGGGTGATGCAATTTTTTACTATTATTAAAAAGCCACGATAACCATTCTAAAAAATCAACATTATCAACGTTAGGGGGCCATCGATACCCCAGCTCACACCATTCTTGTGTAGACACCTCGGGTAACATGCACTCCACTATCCCTTAACTTGCTTAAATCTTCCTTTGCCTGAATCACCTTTCGAATAGTCCTTTGCCTGAATCAGCCTGCTAACTAATGAAGAATGATTCATCAATAAACACCGGCCCTGTTTAGCCAATAACGCTATATTAAACTTTGATATATCTTGAAAGCTCAGGCCTCCACTATCCCTTAACTTGCTTAAATCTTCCCACGAACGCCAGGGAATACCATGCTTTCGTTCTGGTTTTTGCCACCAAAAGCGTTCCATTATACCTTCAAGCTCTTTACGCAATGTTTTTGTAATAGAAATCAGTACATAGCATACATATGCATTGCTTGTAGAACTGACTTAATGAATACCTCCTTACCCTTTTATGACATAACTTTGATACACTAATTTCGAGTCCGACTCTTAAATTTGTCCTTTAAGCTCGCGAAGGCACCTTTCTTATCTCGACCCACTATTACTGGGAGACCCAGATATCGCTCCGAGTTACATGAGTTTGAGACCTCCAAAATTATGCAAACATCTCTACGGTTTTCATCAAAGACATTTGAACTAAAGAAGATGCTCGACTTGTCCATATTTATTTGTTGCCCTTAACTATCTCCATAAACAATCAACATTCATTTTATTTGAACATCCGTATGAGCAGTAGCCTCCCTAAAAATAAGGCTATCACCTGTGAATAAAAGATGAGAAAATACCGGTGTAACAACCTAATCCAGTCCGACCAGAAGATCCATGAATTACAATGTCACACGGGATTACCGAAATAGAGAACTAAAAATTTTATGAGATACCCTCGGGAATCTAGGGTGAGATCCGGAGCTACATCGGAAACGTACACCCGCCAACTTACTATGTCGAGTCTTGGGGCATCTGCGCCCAGTTGGTTGTTGAAGTGCCTTGGCACTGACTGTCGTAATTCTGCTAAGAGGAATTCGGGTGTCCTGACCGTTTCCCGAGTGTCAAACAAGACTAGTTTTATGTGGTCTTAGCTATTATTGTTTCTAGTGTTCTGTCATTATAATATTGTTATCGCTTGAAGTCTTATTTGTTGTTATTATAAAGTATTTGGGGTACCTCATATATGGTCTAATATATGCCTTAGTTTAATTATCCAAAATGTCTATTAGTATTGATATTGGGTCCTCAATATTGATATTGAGTCCCTTGGTATCGATATCCACTAACTGACATAGGCTATCTGGTTAGGGTAGTATTGATACTCTATGTTGAGTATCGATACATAGAGTATCAATACTTTGTCTCTGGGTATCGATATCAAATTTTGGTTCGATATTTCAAAAATAAACCTAGTATCAATATCATCCTTTACAATATCGATACCCCTGCCTTAATATCGATACTCTATATGAGTATTGATACCAAATTTACATTATGAAATATGAGTCTCGATATCATCCATATCAACATAGATCAAGTCATAACCGATACACAAAATAAGAATCAAAAGTCATAAAAAATTCAAATCACACGAATGAAAACCCTAACAATGGGTAAAAAAAACCCTAATAATGGACATATCTCCTTAGCACAGTTAAATTAACTCAAAATCAAAAGAGAAAATAAAATATAAAAGATAATTCATTTTTGATTATCTAGGGTTCTCAATATTTAGAGTCCTCATTGAAGAATCGTCATTATAAACTGAATTATCTCGAAAATTCTTTTTATTTTTATTTTTTTATATAAAGCCACTAGTTTTATTAAAAATAAAAAATATAAAAAATTACAATGAAGATTTACTAGCATAACCATAAACGCAAACTAAATCATAATTAGGACATTTTCATATAATCATTAACACAAAAACTAGCCACCTAGATCTAGGGTTGTAAATGAGACGAGACAGATCACGAGCTACTCGAGATTGACTCGATAAATAATCGGATCGAATAGACTCGACTCGAGTTCTTAACGAGCTGAAACGAGCTACTCGATATTCGACTCAAAAAGCTCGTGAGTAGCTCGAACATATAATATATTAAGATTTTATTTTTAAAAAAATAAATTATTAATAATATTAATATTTATGTATTGATTTTTTTAAATACATTAATATTTTCATGTATTTAAGGTTCATGTTCGAGTTTGAGTTCGAGTTTGAGGCTTCAATCAAGTTAAGTTTAAGATTTTTTTCATTTTGAGCTGCTCACGAGCTTCAGTTCAGGATTTCGATTTCGAGTCGAGCTTGAAAATTTTAAGCTCGCGAGTTTTCGAGTCGAGTCGAGCTCCATTTCAACGTTTTTGAGTCGAGTCGAGCTCAGCAATAATTGAGCTCGACTCGGCTCGTTTACACCCCTACCTAGATCACATAAGGACCATAAAAGGAAAAGGTTAAAAAAACCTAACCAATGCTCGAATAAAATAAAGATACGAACAAATCTGACTATATCGGTAAATGAATCACAAAAGGGGATAAAACTACTGAAAGACCATCGACAAATCGCAAATCAATGTCAAGCGACTTGAGAAAACTATCCACGAGTGCAAAACGCGTATGCAAATCAATCGAAGGGTCCAAAGCAGGGAATATCAGCAAGATAACAAATAAGCAACATCTTGATCAGTTGTGTCAATGTCAAATTTAACCCTGTAAAAAAAATAAACAAAAAAAATGACAAAAAATCGTAATGTACCAAAAGACAGAGAAAAACGTGTCACAAATACAGAGATAAACATGTCATAAAGGCAGAGAACATGTCACAAAGACATAAATATTCTTATTAAAAAATTAAAAAAACAAAAGAAAAAGATAACCGACATGCGACAATCACGATCAAAATCGGTGTCGCCTCCGGTTAAACAAAATTAAAGAAGAAAAAAATTGATTTGATCAATAAATTGACACAAATTATAAAGAAAAAAAAGAAGATGAGAGATGAGAAAGAAAAAGCCGCTATAATTCTTTCTTTTAATTAAAACTTAAAATAAAATAGACCATTCATATATTTTATTCTTCATAATATTTCCCTAAAAAAACGAAATGTTTAGAGTTACTATAAGCGGACAGAGTTACACTTGTAATAGGACTGATAAATTTACTGTGCCTTAAAGTTATCCTAAAATCACTTATCAACCGAGTCCTATTAGTAAGACAGGACACATGCATGACTACAAGGAGTGTAATTAATTTTTCTTATTGCTAAATCAATGCTTAATTAGTTCTTTTGCCATGTATAATTGAAGACATATGGGAGAAGTATGCTTACATTGCTCAAATCAGGGTGAGCGATCGATCGAGTCGGGTAAAAAAATTCGAGTTATTCGAGTTGAAATTCTTATTTTACAACTCGAAGTTGACTTGAAATTTTTTCGAGTCGAGTCAAATTTTTGAGTTTCTGTTTAAATTTAATTGTAAATATTTATAATATTATGATATTGTTTGATTCCAATTTAAATAGTTTTTTATAACCCTATAAAATACATATATATTTTCCCATATGTTTTTCATATGATATACATATATCATACAAATTTGAGATACTCGACTCAAACTTAAAAATCAATCTACTAATTACTAAAAATTTCGGGTTATTCAGTTACTATTCGAGTTGTATTTTACAGCTCGGTTTGAGCTTGAAATTTTTTTGAGTCCAACCAAATTTATGAAATTACAACTCGAAATCAATTCAAGTTTTCTCAAGTCGAATCGAATCGAAAAAATTGGTTTTTTGAGTCGAGTTGAGTTTTACTCACCCTAGCTCAAATATAAAAAAACAAATTTGATAATGTAGTGATTACAAACGCCAATAGTTCAGAAGAATCAATGGGGTATATAATATTATTATATAGGCAGAGAGAGTGAATCAACCTTAAAACTAATTTGATAATGTAGTGATTTAGGACAGAGCACAGTTGACTGTGTTGCTTGGTTTGTTGAATTTTCAATACATAAGTCGATTGTCATTAAATGGAAATTAAATAACTACTTAGCCTCTGCTTCCGTTCCCAAGTGTGAAGTGGGTAACCAAACACCACCATGTAATGTCAGCAACCACAACCAACCAAACCAGGCCCAACTGTCCAACCCAAAAATAAATTAATATCCTTTTCTTCAGACACTTACCTATTAAGCTCATTCCCAATGTCTGCTTTCTTTTAGATACTTACCTATTAAGCCCAAAAACGTTGCAATAAAATGCATATCCCTTTCAAATGTAATTTGAAGATGGTCAGAGTAAGACCACTTTCAATAAATATATGATCGATGGTCCTTAATCAATATATATATATGATAGATGGCCCACAACCAACGACTTGAGTCCTAGGAAGATGTCGGGCATCCATCGGTAAGCTTGGCAAATTTATGACCATGTTACTAGAAAAAAGGCTGATGATTTTCAATTTGAAAGACGAACAATACAGATTGGTTCATATAATTTTAGCCAATTATCTGGTTCATCTATTGTGCAGCGATGCACATGGCTAGCCCCTGAGACTTAACTCGACCACAACGCTCTCGACCAACACCCTTTATAAAACCTAAGACCGTGTTCTAAGTATGGGAGTTATGAGGAGAATGCCATTGCAGAAAGAGCTGCAATCACGCCAAGGAAGTTCGATCCGTTTGTCATCTGCAACACCAGAGTGGTGATGTGTAGCTCCAACAGCTCGCGAGTACTTTTATACGGAGAACCAACAAGAACAGGGGTAATAACTGTTACATAGTCCTGTAATAAAAGGCATGTCTTTGCTTTTGGTAATGCCTAAACTAATTCGAATTAAACAAAAAAAAAACTAAAATGAAAAATCTACATTTTCTTCGAATAAGCACATAGAAAATCCTGATCTCCAGCTAAAATAAGGCCTCAAATCACTCACCGGAGTTCTTCCTGACGAGTGCGAAGTAACCCAAAACGGCACAAACAGCAGCCACAAGGTTCCCTTCCTTCAACAAAATCTTGAACACGAAGCTAGCGATTTCTCTAGTGATTTTACTTCCTTCGAGCACCAAGGTCCGTTTCGGTTTCCCAAAGAAAGCGAGCAAGACCACGATAGTAATCCAGGTGACCAGAGTGGCCGGCACCACGACGGCCAGCGCCGCAGCCATGGAAAGCACCCCGAAAACGGCACCGAGGAGGACGGAGGCATAGAGGGCAGGCCAACCGGAAGAAGGAGAAGAGGATCGGGATTGGTTTTTGTACCAAGAAAGTATCGATTTCAGGGAATTCCACGAAGAAGATAAAAGAATGGCGTAAACTAGTACAAACAGAAATACCCATGTTCTCCTTTTGCTCATAATCGTTAAGAAAAACGCGTATGACAACGATGACGGAGGAGGAGGAAGAAGAGGCGGTGTCGAAGTGGGAGAAGTGGACGGCGGTGCGTCTTGTCCCTGCTCCTGCTCCTGCTCCATGTCTTTTTGGGATTGTTTTCTTGGAGAGTTTTTGGTAGTCTCCTATGTCCCAGACTCAGAGATGAGATGATGAAAAAGTGGATACTCTCAGATTTGAGGGAGCAGGTTAAGGGGAAGTACCAAGCGCAATCACATCAATTGGATTTAACTTGAACATTGTGGCATCATGTCATTGGGTCTTGTAATATACGTGCTTAGTAGATGGTGTCACTGTTTTGGAATGCTTTGAGCAAACCTATGTGTTCCTGAAAGAGACAAGGTAAAGGGCAACATTTACAAACCTATGTGGGAAAAAATAAGGGTAAATTATATGTTTACTCATTGAACTTTACTCTCTCTTATATTTCACTCACCGTACTTTCAATTTTTTCAATTTGCTCACTGAACTTTAAACATTGAACATTTTTGGTCACTTGATCGTTAAGTTTCTACCGGTGTTTTTGACGTTGCTATATTAATTGCAAAACATTAAAAGTATAGAGAGTAAAATAGGAGAGAGAGTAAAGTTCAGTGAGTAAACGTGTAATTTATTTATTTTAATTATATGTCCTATATGGAATGCTTTATTATTAAAATAAGCCACATGAGCACCCCGTTACAGAGTAAACGGTCGAGTGACAAAAAAAATTAATGTCTAAAATTTAGTGAGTAAATTGAAAAAATTAAAAATACGATGAGTGAAATAAAAGAGAAAATAAACTCCAGTGAGTAAGCGTGAGGTCCTACTCCATAGCCTATGTCGGTGAGTTATAGTGGGATGAATAATTTTGGCATGCTTTGGTCCTCCATTGATGGACCAACCATCACCACCAACATTTTTCAATAATGCCTTTTACAGCCCTTAACTTTTGTTTTTTGTCTTGCATTACTATTGACTGTAATACAAATTAATATAATGGAACAAAATGAACTGAATTTAGCTTACATTTACCTCAACTACTAGGATGCACTCGTGTACATACAAATAAGTTACTATGGGCAGTATGTTCTACAATTCTTTTGGGCTTGATTGATAAATTACTATCCAAATTATACTTAGATGTTTAAATATTCTGTTAAATTAGATGCTTAAGGTTTCATTTTTAAATTTCTATGTTATATTCATTATAAATAAATATATGGCATATATTATCGTTCATCTCCTTTCAAATTATATATATATAAATATATAAAGGAAACATAAAAAGTTATTTTGTACATTAAAATAAATTCTAGGTCTAAAAATTAGTCTTAAGGACTTTAATTTAATTTATGTTTTTTAATTTTCTTTTCATAGAATTAAAAATTTTAAATCTTAAAAATTAATCTCAAACACTTAGATTTTAAAATTCAAAAATAAAATTAATCTCTGAATTCTTAAAAATCATTTCTATTTTCAATACTTGTAATGATGAGTTGGGTAAATAAAATTATAGATAAGGAAGAATTCATCAACATTTCAATTCTACACGCATTTAATTTCCATTCTTAATTCTTAAGTTCTTTTGAACATTCTAGGTGCTACCATAGAAGTTGAAGGGATTGCCAACACACCACTTCATTTTTATTTGCCACATATTGTTATTTTATATCATTCAAGAACCATCCATGCCTTGTTAACATAAGTAACAAAATCATATTTGAATTCTAACATTCCCCCTCATATATGATTTTTTATTTCGAACTTTTTTTCTAATTGTTATCATCAACCGCTTCTTCATATGTTATGAGATCACTTTTGTAAGTAAATTGAAAAGTGAAACATTTTGTAATTTGTAACTATTGTACCTTTCTAGTATTCTTCTCTCCATTGTAGATCTTTAAACTTCTGTGGGAGGTACTTCAAAACTTTATGTTCCACTGTTATCACTATTGTTATTGCTTGATGATGGTGATGCAATTGAATTTTGTTAAGGACCTTGATCATCATCTTGTTCATCACGATTAATAAGAACATCATCATCTTTATCTTTATAAAAAAACAATCTTTTCTTCTTTGCTCTATCTTTAGCGTTTCGTTTCATCGAACTTGACATATCTTGAAATTATTACCTTTTTTGTGAGAGGATTATATAATATGTAGGCTTTACTTCTTTCATCATAATCGATGAAAATACATTTTTATCATCTGTCATCAAGCTTTTTTGGTCTACTTAGGAGCATGTGCATATGCGATGCGCCCAAAAAATTTGAGGTGTATAATTCTCGATTTCTGACCGCTTCATGCTTCATTTGGCGTCATATATTTCACACTTTTGGTTGACCATTAGTTCAGCAAATAAATTGCATAACGAACAACTTCGGCCTAGAAATTTCTCGGTAAATACTTATCTTTTATCATGTTCATCGCTATGTCAAGGATTGTTCAATTCTCTCTCTGCAACTCTATTTTGTTGAGGCGTGTATCTTACAGTCACTTGATGGACGGTGTCATGCTATTTACACAAGTCTTCAAATAAATATGATGTATACTAGCCTCCTCTATTTGATCTAAGTATCTTTAAATATTGACCACTCTGTTTTTGTCATTGTTTTAAATTTTTTAGATTTTTTCAGTGTTTTTGATTTTTTTTAAATATAAACCTAACTTTTTCGACTAAAATCATCAATAAAAATTAGGTAGTACATGTTATGTCTAAGTGATAGTATGTCAAAAGGACTAGCTATGTCTATGTGCACAATCTTTAATGACCTTCGAGCTCGCCAGGATAAGCCAACTTCGAAGCTTTGTCTATGTTTCTTTCCTTTGATGCAAGCCTCACATAATCGATCTAGAGGGTTGATCTCTAGAAATCCATTCACTATATTTGCCTTTGATAACAACTCAAGACCCAAAAATCTAGGATGTTCATATCTTAAATGCCATAACCATGAATCATCTTTAATTGTCATATTCATGCACTAGAATTCTCCTGACTTGATATTAATGGTAAAGAGATGATTTCGAGTCATATCGACTTGAGTAATTAATTCTCCATCTTTATTTTTTATGGAAAGAGAACAATTCTTCATCGACACTTCATATCATTTTTTCCAGGAGTTGATCAATGTTGATGATATTAGTTTCCAAAGCTCGTACATTATAAACATATGAGATGTATTTCTTTTCACCATTTTTTTAGTGATCATAACTTCACATTTGTCTTTAATTTCTATGTGAGAATCATCACCAAAAGTTACTCGACCATGGACTATTTTATCTAACTTCAAAGACAGCTCATTTCGATTGCACATGTGGTTGTTAGAGCAATTGTTGAGATACCGAATATTTTTCTTGAATACTTTATTTCTTTTATAAGTGAGGAATACATGGGATTTTTCAACTTTTTATTCTTAAGCTGTTGCAACATTATTTATTTCTTATTGTTTAAGAGTTTCTACCATCGTAACTACAATGACTGTACTTCTTGAAATTACAACATTGTTGTAACACCCCCAACTCGTACCCGACCCGGATACGAGTCCGAGGTGTCACATTGACTTTTCAAAACCTTTACTTTTACTAAAGAACAAAGAATTTCAATTTATTTTTAAAAAAAATGGGTTTACCACACATATCAGAGCATATTCAACTCCATTATATTATTAGTACATGCCAACTATGTTCGAAAGAACAAAATACATATTAATTATTATTTTTCTGATCTGAATTTTGTAAGGGAGATGCTGACCTTTCTTGCTTCTCTTAACTTCTCTTTTTGCTTTCTGTAACCTATGTGTGAAATACTCATACGCTAAGTCGATGACTTAGTGAGGCACAAATAAACATACTATAACATATCAATACTAATTCCTACTATGCACGCTTCATGTAATCATAATAAATTATGGGATGCATTATGCATCAAAACATAAAAAATTACATATTCATAACATCACATCATCCTTGTTATTATTTTTATCATTATTAACATTATTTTCATTCTTATCTCTTAGTCACATACTCTTACACCTAACATTCTTAACCAAACCATACACACATCATCATATAAATCATATACTACAATTCATACCACAAAAACATATACATCACATGTAATATTTTTATTATTAACTCTTTGTTAGCCCATGTACACATGTGAGAACTATAGATATGTGAGTACATAGAGGTTGTGCACATATGCTGTCACCACAGCTCGTATAAGGTCCCACTAGGGGCATATGAATTTTGTCCCGAATGACCGCGTAGAAATGTACCGAATGACCACTATGTCCCGAAAGACCACTATCCATATGTCTCGAAAGACATAGGTAACCCTCGACTCTTGGCATGCCAACTATAACTCTAGCTCTCATGACACATAACATGGGAATTATCTTCTACTTGTCACATATTCATGTCATATAGGAATATTCACATATACATGTAATCACGTAGTTTATTTTTGTGTAATTCATGTCATTTCTCATATGATTTCATATTCATATGTCACATAGCTCATATCACTTCGCATGGTTTCACATAAACATATATGTCATATCTTGTTCACATATATTTCCCATATAACTCATATCATATGATTCATATCTTATTCTTATATCATCATATATATATCATCTATGTTCATTCACTTAATCTCTTATGTTCATATATCACATATTTATATCATTCATTATGTCAATATCATATAACTTATATAAACATATATATCACTTATACATGTTCTTATGTCTTATCACACAAGCATTTATTTATACAAATCATGTCACACATACAATAACATATAACTAATACACTAATAACAAACACATGCTCATGTTCATGAATTCATGCATAATACTATAGGAAATAGACTTGTCGCAAGTCTTATTTCCATTAAACATCATATACTACCTAATATGCACTCACCTTGCCTCACTAGTCAATACCGACCCCTTATCTCTTCTCGATGACTATTACTTGTAAACTTATCCGGACATTGCTTTCAATCGATATCTACATAATCATGTATATATATCAACATTCCAAATACTATGATTTGATCCCTAATTTCTTAAGCTAGAAGAAAAAGTTCATCCAAATTTTCTCTTGCAATGGTATCGATACCCCCCATAGGGTATCGATACAACCCTATTTGTGGTATCGATACCATGCCTAGGTATCGAGACCCATATTGC